GTGGGAAGCATGAAAAGCCTCTAGCTGAATGCCATGGGAATCACAGTGAGCCCCCCCCCGAGGAAATGATGGACATTAAAATCGCCAAGTAACAAAAGTGGCGTAATGACGAAAGAAGAAAGGCAATATCCGGAATAAACAATGCTCGAGAAGGAGAGAGATACAAAGAACAGAGTGTATACCACCTATGCAGGTAGATACGGGCTGCTGTGTAATGCAGCAAAGTACGAACAAATAGCTGATGGTACGGAATATCAGTGAGTAGAAGAAGTGCACTTTCATTAAAGGTCCCATCAGGAAAAGAATACAATAAATTACAGCCTGAGATGGGATAGATAACAGCAGAATGTAATTTTGGTTCTTGTAAGCAAACAACAACAGGGAAAAATTGGGAATGCAACGTCTCAAGCTCACCCCGATTACCCGAGGCCGCGTATATTCCACTGTAAATAGGCCATGATTGGCAATGATAAAGATACTAGAAATCCGCGGTAAGTGTACTTATGGACTAGAGGGGTTAGAAAAGTCCACATGCGGTGGCAGCGGAAAACATTCAAGCAGCGAAGGAATGGTGCGCTGTGAAGAAAGGAGTTGCGCAGATGGAGAAGAGGAAAGAGAAGGAACAGAGAGTGGATCAGTGTCCATTGATGGTTTGGTTTCTGCAATATATTCAGAGATTGCTTCAAGTGTTTCGGAGTTCAGAGATGTCGTATGAGAGACAATATCGGAGATGGAAGGAGGAGGAGTTTGAGTAAAGATCGGAACTGTAATGGACTGTACCAAGGTAGGGGGGGGGGGCGAAAGGGTGGAGGGAACTGGAGAAGAGTGGGAGGGGACAGAAGAGGCAGAAACCTGGGAGGTGGCAGAAGAGGAAGAAACTTGGGAGGGGACAGGGGAGGAAGGCACAGTACAAGGAGGATGAACCTCCACACTTGTAACAAAGCCAGTGAAAGGGGAAGACCCAGGTACAGAGACCGGGAAAGTAAGATGTTGAGGTGGATGAAGGAAAGGAGGGGTTAAAGGAGATTTTTTTGGACTTCTGAGAAGTAGAGGGACGATTGGGAGGAGGTGTTGTACAAGGTCTTGACAATACTGGGGTTTGTGAGGGAGAACACGAAGAAGTGAGAACAGACTGAGGTGTTGAAGTAGGGACGTCTGAGCCCAGGACAGCAAAAGAATTAGGTACAGGAGTGACTATGGGACTGGCAACCACAGAGGAGGCTGCAGAAGATGGGACCCCAGAAGTGGGGGGACGTTTTGAAACACGAGAATAAGAAACACTGGGTAGTCTCCCTTGGAGGCGGAGATGAGAAACTGCCATAGCATAAGGGAGACCTTCTGCCTCTTTGAGGTAACAAATTTCCCGCTCATTTAAGTAGACCTGGCAACGGCGAGAGTATGAAGGGTGAGCCTCATGATAAGGCAAGAGGGAGGTCGACTGCAAGACGTATTAGAATGGTCATTGGCACCACAGACTGGGCATTCTGCAATATTTTGCTGGGTGGGCAAATCGCCAGCAATTCCTACACTGTTGCGGTGTAGGGATCACCTTCCGAACTTGTAACCGATGTCCTGCTACATAAACAGAGGATGGGAGTTCACGGCTGTCAAAAGTTAAACGAGCCACATTGCAAGGGTATCGTCTTCGCCCACGGGCAGGAAGAACATAAGTGTCTACCTTGAGAATTGGGAGATCTTGGAGTTCCAGCTGTTCGAGAATGTCATTTCCACATGTCGGGAAATTCTGTTGGACTATGGTATGGGGCAGAATAACAGTACCATTACAAGAATTGAGGGAATGATGTTTTTCGATAGTGATAGGAATAGTATCAATATGTGAAAGAAGAGAAAGATCATGAGCTTGGGTAGAATTCTGGACTGTGATGATGCACGTACCACTCTTAAGAGCATGAAAGGAAAGGAGTGCTTTGCCAATACATACTATGGTCAGAAAGATAGGCAGTAGAAGAAGTCGGTCTTAAAGTAAAGAATTTAGTCCATTGTGTGGTTCGAAACTGAGTGTGGAGAGGGAGTGCATGACGTGTCAGTCTTTTCTGAGTAGAATGGGAAGGTAACAAAGTAACATCATTAGGAGATTGTCGTTGGCGTTTAGAAGTGGGACCAGAGTCGGTCCGACGTGGGACGGGCTGGTGATTCGAAAATCGCCGCACCATAGATGGAGAGGCTGGAAGCATAGTCAAAAGAGAGCGGAGGTCAGACAAATCAAAGGAGTCAGTCGAAACCCCGGCACCTGAAGCGGGTGATGAAACAGCACCAGCAAGAGGTACAGGGGCCTTAGGAGTGTCCGAAGAGTGGCCAAAAGATGAGGCGAGGTCAGAACAGGGTGTGGTAACAATAAGGTTCCTGGGGGTAGTGGGGTCATGGATTGGGTACTCCATGGTTAGGTTACTTCTTTCTTTTTGTTTTTAAGAAAAAAATAAGAAAAAAAAATAAAAAGAAAAAAGAGGAGACCGGGGAGGGGTAGTTCCTAAGAGGAATGAAAGGGCCAGAAATCTCTCTCCACGCCCAAGAGGACCTCAGCACCGCAAGTACCGCAGATGCAGCATGGAACCCGTGTCATACCCTACCCTTCATGCCAGTAAACCAGCAATCCGGGATAACAACCTCACATCTGTCGAGCTACCTTGGTGGACAAAAGAGAGGGAGGCCGGATATCCACCACAATCCATACCTCCTTTGGCCACCACCCCCAGAATCCGAAAGGTGGCTTCCAGAGATACACCCGTCGCCCGAAAGACACCCAAAGCCACCCTCCGGGATACCGGAGAGGGATCAGGACATCCCCAGGCGATCCAGATTCCACGGCAAACTACGCCACCGCCAAGAACCTCAATGGAATGGGATGAACCCCGGTACCCTTTCCCCTACCTAGGAAGTAGTGTGCCTGTGGGAAAAATCCCAAAGGTTAAAAAGAGGAAGGGCAAAAGGGAGGGGTGGGGAGGAGGAGGAAAGGAAAAAGGGGAGGATGGGATAGGGAAGGGGGTATTGGGAGGTAATTAGGTTCGGTCTGAGGAAGGAGACTGACAGGTCTAATTCCTCAGACCAAGAGCCTCTTCACCACGCCAAGGAGCCCCCCTTGAAGAGGCCTACAATCAATAGCTTTGCCTTACTCACATGGGCCCTTCTGGCCACTTTAGCCAGTTTGTCAACCATTGCTCTGTTACTATTATCATATTCTTGCCTTGGCCTTCTGCTATTCTGTTGTGGGTTATACATCACTGCAATTACTGCCTTTGCGTCCTCCAGATTGTGTGTGTTTTTTTTCTGGCAATTTGTTAGTATACTAAATTAGCATTTAAACTTGGAATTGTTGGAATCCATGAGATAACTGGAGAATATCTCTTCTGATTGGCTTCAGATTTTCTCCCCTCTTGTATTTTTCCAAAAACCACAAGGTCTTCATTTTCACTGGGCTTTGTTTTCTATTTTATAAAATAGTGATATTGATTTCCAAGCAATATGTAAAGAATGCCTCGCCTTATTGGCTTCGAAACAGTAACACTGAAACATTTCGTAAGTTTAGTTTGTTTATATGCAAATTAGAAATTTTAATGTAACTTGAAAAATTTGGAATTGTTGGCTACAAAGAAATTACTGGAGAATTCCTTCCATGATAAACTTCAACCTTAATATGTATTTGCTTTATTAAAAACAAAGCTTGGTTTCACTTGCAGCTATGTAAATTTTAAATTGCCAAGTTTGTTCATTATTATTATAATAAAGAAGCTCTAAACCCAGTAGGGTCATACAGTGCTGCAGGGCATGGGGTGGTGCTGGAGCAGAGAGTAGCAAGGGTGGAGATGATAAGACACCTCTCCCTGTCCCTGTCCACCCATCGATATAAAATGGTGACCTGGGTATTGACTGGTGTGGGTCACATCCTAGGACAAAACTGACTTAATTTGCCCAAAATGCCCAGCATAACAAATAGCTTTCTGTATAGTAGTACATATGTCACTGATGTCAGCTAGGACTGTATACCTTGTACATGTACAGTGGACCATCCCTTTTCGTCAATCTCCGCTATCGCCGATTTCCGTTTTCAACAAATTTTTTCGTCAAAATGTTGGTTCCATTTTCATTGAATTCCTCTGTTTTCGTCGATGGTACGGAACCTGTCCAGTGCCCAGCGCACACACAAAGCTGCTTCCCACACGCATTCTTGGGCAGTGTTGTGTTTTTTCTCAGAGAGTGAACATATCCTGCGAGATCATGTGAAACATTCATAATGCTCCATTGTTTTTGGCATTTGTTTATTGTGTTTGACAGCTAAATAAGCCACCATGGGTCCAAAGAAAGCTTCTAGTGCCAGCCCTTTGGTAGAGAATGTGAGAAACACAATAGAATTCAAGAAAAAGTTTGTAGAAAAATACAAAAGTGGTGGTGGCAGTGGTTGTGATGATGGTAGAGGGTGGAAGTGATGGTGGTTGTGGTAGAGGGTGGTAGTAATGGAGATCTGTGCAATGTGGAGTAGGAAGGAAAGATTTGTGGCATTAAAAAACAAAGAAGGGATGTAACCCCAGATGAGGACTTGGTGCCTAAAGTCCTTATGGAGGGGGATTCCCCTTATAAAGAATAACCTCTCTCCCCTCCTCCCTGTCTTCCATACACCAAGAGTCTTCAATAAAGGTAGGTGTCATGTTGAATGTTCATTCTTTTCTGCATGTAAATCTATACTTAACAAAATTTTTTTTTTTATTTTTAGGTTAATACTTTTGGGTTTCTGGAACGGATTAATTGGATTTACATTATTTCTTGTGGGGAAAATGGTTTCTGTTTTCACCAGTCTCTCTGGAATGGATTAAACACGAAAACTGAGGGCCCACTGTACTTGTAGTAAATAAAGATATTATTATATTATGAACTAAGTGAAGCTGATAGGCTTTATATCGAACAAACCACTTGACCATTCTCCCTCTTTTTGTTCATCTGTATTTGTATTTCTCTGTTCTATTCTTTACCATTTTTTTTTGCAACAGGAAATACTGGTGAACTTCATCCAGGGTGTCTTCATGGTCGCAGCTGGTAGCATCATCATCAACACCTATTGTACCTATCCAAATCAATACTCAAGTTTTGCAGATTCAGGCAAAACTGCTGGGTCATTCTGTATCATCAATGCTGCCTTATATCTGGCCGATACTTTCTTTGCCTATAAGAATTTTAGCTAAATATTCTGATGTCAAGTTATTAATTTTATATTTTCTCAGGATTAAATGAGCATAACACACTGGCTAAAACACTCTGGCATTATATCTTTATTATACTAGTTTGTGCCTCAGTTTGAATGAATTTACCAAAATATATGTGATGAATATTTGTTAAGCATTTTAATTAAAAAGTTAGTGAAAATGTTTTTGCCTGTCATTATTTTAACTAAGATTCCTCCTGTTATGAAAGGTCTACTCAAATTTTGCCCACTCCAGGGCTCTTAATAATAATTATTATAATAATATTCACACAAAGTGCCAAACCAATATGAAAGCATTACAAGGTTGAGGAAAGCTACCAGCAAAGGGAAGTAGTGCAAAGTCTACACTTGTTGAATGAGCTAACAAGTAATGTAAGTCAGTGTCAGTAATGATGGTAAGACTTGCCGAAAGAAGAGAGAGCAGGAGCTGTAAATGAGGCCAGAAATGAATTATACATACTCTTTGATAATTAGTATAGTCAATATAAGTGTGGAAGGAATCCTAATTCATATAGGGGGTAACAGTTTATCCTGACAACAGTCGATACTGACAGTTTGGGTATCAATGAGAGCATTACTGTAAGTCGCTCTATGATCACTCATACTGTGATTACCTTTTTTTTTTGGGGGGGGGGGGGTTGAAGACTATCAGTGTGATCAGAGCAGGTCATAAAACTCAGTTCCAATGGGCATTTTTTTTTTTTTACAGTATGGTGTGGCGAATCAAGCTCATAACCTCCTGTCTCCTAGCTGACCCAGTCATGTCTCTTACCAGTCTTTTATTATTTCTTAAGAAAATGCTAAATTTATTTTGACCATTTAAGTATAAAATTGAATTTATCCATACACCACCACCAAAGTAATGTAATTTTTATTTATCATTTAAAAATTATTCAAGATTATTTGTTTGAATTCTTAATTAAGTCAATTCTGTGGTTCACCTCACCTTTCATAGACCCATCTGCTGACAAGTCCACTCCCAAATATCTGAACACATTCACCTCTTACTCCCTCCCTCCTATCTGAAATCTAATCTTTCATTTCCTAAATTTTTTATCCTTACCTTGCTCTCTCTTATGTCCACTTTTAATTTCCTTGTACATACCCTCCCAAATTTGTCCACTAACCACTGCAGCTTCTCTTCAGAATCTCCTATACTTGCTGATCAATCCTCATTTCTACACCTGCTAATATCAGGGTTGATCACATTACCATTCATAATAGCAAGATGGTTAACAATATCCTCAGTCTCAGCACCAGAAGAGAAAACTGTCTCTTACTCTTATCCTTCAAATAAAAAAACACTATCCATAAGCCTAATCTGACTGTCCACTACAAAGAACAATGTTCTTACCTTACCAGGTGTACTTGTTCTTGTCATTCCCTGGAATTGACCCACATTTGTCAGGCAGCATGGAGGAGTTGAAGGTGTCCACAGCAGCCTCCAGAATCTTCCTCATTTTCAGCCTCAGACCCACCACCAGCTTCCAGTCGTTTCAGCAGTCCTCCTCCATTTGACAACCTCCACAGGATTGCTACGAATCTTTTATTTTCCCTCAGTAGCTGCATCTAATAGTTTCTTCCAACTCTTTAACTTCTGGAACAGCTGGTCCAAAGATGTTAGTGGTTCTGTTCACAGAGCTCACTAAGCACGTCTTCACATGGTACAGATTATGGCGCTACTAACAACAATGGGCCGAAAATTGATCCTACTGGAATCCCACTTGTGATTAGTATCCATTCTGATTTCACCCCATTTATGCACTCTGTGCCTTCTATTGGCCAGCTGAGCAGGCTAGCTACCTGTATGCCTGCCTGGCTGGCTGGTTGCTTGGCTGCCTACCATGCCCTACCTGCACTTCTTGTAAGCAGTCATTTTGTGTGGCAACATTTCCAAATGGACACAAAAAGCTTGACTCTACTACCACAATGAAAATGGATGGGCCCTACCTGGAGGGGATTCTGGGAATCAATGCCCCTAGTCCATGACCAGGCCTCCTGGTGAATCAGGTGCTGATCAACTAGGCTGTTACTGCTGACTGCATGTAGTCCAACCTATGAACCACAGCCCAGCTGAACTGGCACTGGCTTTAGGGCGCACCCCATCTTTCATTTTTTTTTTATTTATTTTTCAACCGATTTATTTTATTTTTGGTGTACTTTTAGAGGTGCATATGTAGAAGCATGTGACAAAGTTTCAGTATGATTGGCCAACAAACAACAGAGAAAAAAATATAAACATAATTTTTATATATGGCAGCATGACCTGACAAATTGGCACTACGAGTGGCACTTCCGACATTCCCAACTGTTAGAATACAACTAGCACGACGTTTTTACATTGCCATTTCATCTAATATATCTTATTATCATGGTAAAAAAAAAATACATTTGACAGAATTTTTGGCATTCACCAAAATATCTGCCTTTTACCCCCCATAAAATAAAAAATATTTGAGATATTCCAAAAAATCGCTATATTATGGCCTATTTTATTCAGTCTAGGTATATAACATGTTTGTTTGTTATTTATAGTGATTATTATATCATATTAGATCAATTCTGAATGATAAATAAGCCGTATAGTTAATATATAAGCTGATATAAGCGTAATAATGAAGTGATTTCACCTGGCACAGTCTGGAGAGGGAGCACTGCCGAGTGTACCTAGGTGCTTCCTGATATGCTAGACGTCTATTGATGAGCTCCACCTACTCTTATATGATGCCAAATAATCAATTATTATATTAGAAAGAAGAATGCAAAGAAAAAGCAATAAAAAAACAAGGATAAAATTCAAAAAATTATATGGGTTGAGAGCAGACTCGCTACCTACATCGCCGCCACCATACCTGATATAAATGACTATAATTTCTTGTAGAAACGTTGTAGAACATTTATTCTTGTACCATTGTGCTGCCAAAGAGTTAAGCTATTTTTCTGTACGAATAACTCATTTTCCATAATTTTTCGATTTTTTTTCTTGAGCACGCTGAACGGCTCCAGCCTCCAGCCTTTAGGTATCTGTCCAGCTCTCTCTTGAAGGCTGCCAGGGGTCTATTGGCAATTCCCCTTATGCCTGGTGGGAAGCTGTTGAACATTCTTGAGCTCTGGACATTTACTGTGTTTTCTCTTAGTATACTAATGGTGCCCCTACGCTTCATTAGGGGTTTGTTGCACCGCCTGCCAAGTCACCGCACACCACCTGTTTTATTTACATTCTCCGTAAGCATTTCTCTCCATTATGAGTTTTAATGTTACTGTGTACAGTGGACCCTCGGTTAACAGCCGTAATCTGTTCCAGAAGGTCGGCCTAAAACCGAAATGGCCACAAATCGAAATATTTCCCAAAAGAATTAATGTAAATACAATTAATCCGCTCCAAACGCCCAAAATTATTAACAAAAAATACATTTTTTAAAGACTAACTATAGTTTTACATACACAAAACAATGAGAACTAAATGACTAATGAAATGGATAAATGAATATTTAAATCACTTTTACCTTTATTGAAGAGTCTTGTTGGCATATGCAAAACAGCGAGGAATGGAGAGGGAGGAGAGTTTATTGCTTGGAGACAATACATAGCGTCATTTTGTCCTATCAACTCTATGGCTTATTTATCTATCACAATTCATCTGTGACATAATAAACAATATTAATAACACAGAAACATGATATATACCCTAGAATGAATAAAATACGTCATTACGTAGAAGTGCTGGTGTTGTTGTTGGATTTATAAGGGCCCCTGACAGCATAAGCTGTACATATAGTGGTGGTGGTGGTGGCAGCAGCACAAGCCACCACCACTATTCACAATGAAACAATGTACGTAATTTATAAATAAGAAATATGTACACTTTATAAAAAAAAGAAATATTTACACTTACCTTGGAGGAGATGCTGGCATTGGTTTAGGGTGGTGTAAGATACGCAGGGCGGTGTATATTGCCAGTGGTGCTATATACCTCCAACAACATTAGAGGTGTGATAAATGGTTTGAAAACAGACAAGTTGAAGAACGAGACAATTATGCAACATATGGGAATCTTTATTGAGGAAACGTTTTGCCACATAGTGGCTTCATCAGTCTAATACAAAGCAGAAAGGTGTAAGGAGAGGAGGAGATTGAGGTAATCGGTCCCTCAGTCTGGAGTCGATGGAGTAGTATGTACAGCATAAAGCCGTAGACGTGGCTTATATACTGTAGTCAGGTAAGGCGAAGCAGGAGGTGGGGTCATAGTGGAACCATCCACTAGTCTAAGAAGATCTTCATCCAAAGGTTGGACAAGTTTTGAAGAATTCTTTGTATCAAGATCCCAGATGTGATAAATGAAGCCAGTATGTGGTGAAATGTTTCCTCAATAAAGATTTCCATATGTTGCATAAGTGTCTCATTCTTCAACTGGTCAGGTTTTAAACCATTTATCACATCTGTCAGACACTGCAACATCATGGGATCTTGATACAAAGAATTCTTCAAAACTTGTCCAACCTTTGGACGAAGACCTACTTAGACTAGTGGATGGTTCCACTATGGCCCCGCCTCCTCCTGCTTCGCCTCACCTGACTACAGTATATAGACCACGTGTACGGCCCTATGCTGTACATTCTACAAGATTGATGGACTGAACACATCGACTCCAGGCTGAGGGGTTGATTACCTCAATCTCCTCCTCTCCTTACACCTTTTTACTTTGTATTATTATTATAATAACAAACGCCGCCAACTTGGTGCACTGTTTAAATCGCTGTGGGAGCAGTTCTTTCATGCTTTGCTTACATTTTTGACAGTCATTTGGCCAAATTTCGTTTTTCTAAGCATGGGTCCTAATATAGTAAGTCTAAAGGACAGTGCTGAGAAGAAAAAGAGGATGATTTCCATGGAATTAAAGAATGAAATCATAGATAAACAAGTGAGAGTCCAGGTTTTGGGTTGAGGGGGAAGCAGGGGGAGCTGGCTCATAACTCAGAGCAAAAAATCGACCCAGGGACAGCTTGTATCTCAAAAAACTTGTACGCTGGGATACTCATAAGTTAAGGCTCCACAGTACAGTAAGGCCCCGCCTTACGGTGTTCCGGTAATATGGCGATGTCAAATTATGACCAAAATTTGCTATACGGCAAGCGGTCTTTTAAATACGGCGCCCCCCACCCGGT